TATATATATATATATATATATATATATATATTTCCAAAACAAGTCGTGGGCTTAGCCCCCCCCCCTTCCCCTGGCCCTTCGCCCGGTCTCGATGTCTTTGTATGACGTTGAAAACTTTCATATTAAATGAGTTAATTAAAACAGATGAAAGCTAGAAATATTTATGTACAGTAAAACATATGAGAAAAAATTTTCATAGTTTTGAACAATCAAATTGCCCCCATTTTATTATGATAAATGCTAAGTTGCTTAAAGCTGTCCACTGTTAGTGCCCCCTTTACACATTTACATCTACTTACATGTATCAAAAACTAGAATTTAAAAAAAACGAATTAATGATCTTAAACAATCGTTACTCTTTTTTTCAAGACCCTTTTCCCTTTTAGTTATCAAAACCCCAAATATTTAAAACGTCAATATCTCAGGTCCTGAAGTGACTTTATTATAAAAAAAAGTTATCCAACCTGGATCTGTTATTTATCATACCGATTATTTGTTAGAATATTGAATAATCTTCACATTTTTTTCAAAGTGCGTTAATATGTTCGATATCAACGCACTTTGAAAAAAAAAATCATAGTGCGTTAGCTTGGTCCCAACTTTTAACGCACTTTGAAATTTTTTTCAAAGTGCGTAATTTTTCAAAGTGCGTTGTAACAGAGCCTTGAAATGGTTTACTCGTGTGTCAAGTTTTATTGGATTGATCATTGTTTACATGTATGTGTTCTTTGATACTTTTTTACTTGTATATTATTTTTATTGAAAACAAAGGAACTTTGTAGATAATTAATAAGGCGTTACCTTTAATTGATTCAATATCTTTTTTATGCATTTCCTTATTAACAGATACTGTCGTATATTTGAAAACTAAACAACATTAACTTACCTTTCACATCAACAACAACAAGAAGAATTCATTGAGAACGCAAGGCTACAGAATTTTTAACATCACTGCGTGTTGAATGTTTGTTAAAAATCAATTCTTTATGTCCCAGAGCGACTTCATTCATGAGATAGAAATCGTGTCTCTTATAACCCCCCTGGATTATATATAACATACTACCTTTCATATGAGGCGTATCTCTGCAATCTGCACAACCTTTGATCATCTAAGTTATCTTGTCAACAAGTCAAGGAGTGATACATATTGCAAATTATTATTATGTTAGATTGATTTAAAATCAAATTATGTCTGTCGAATATACCAGAAATCATAATTATGACCTTGTGAATTTTTGTTGAAAATTTTAGTTTGATGAAGCCAGAATCGTTATTATTATAAATTCCTTATTTTAAATTTTTATAGCTGAAAGAGATAGGGCTGACGTGGAAGTAAGTGGAAAGAAAAGCAAAGGATAAGGACTGTGAGGCTGCTTTATGTGCCACCTGGCATGAAGATGCCTAAGTAAGTTATTTTAAATACAGTTTAAAATATATCGAGGTGTACATATCTAATTTTTTCAGTAGTATTTTTCTCGTCAATTTATCTATCGTCCGATATTTTTTTCATTTATCGATGAATACATTTATGTTTTGTTCATTCAACGAGGGTTTATGTTTCTCATTACAGTTTTCAACTTACTCTTTTTTTACATGCTTAAAGATTTTTTCTACAAACAGTCTATCCAGTCCATCCAGAAATTATCCGTTTCACCCCCCCCCCCCAAAAAAAAACCCCTGATATATATATACATGTATATTTTAAAATGTAATTTTTATTCAATTTTTTATGATGTATTACATATTTAGTACATTTATATGTGGTGCTCTCAGCCGTGTGTATTATTTATATATGGTAATATTTATATGAATTTAGGAAATTGCAAGTATTTATCACGTTGAAAAAAAGTTGATGATTGCTTGTGCCAAAGTGTCAAGGTTGTATGAAAAAAAAAATTGTAATTGACACTACTCATTAGAACAGCAGCTAAATTATTGTTGTACATGTATATACATGTATACATGTACATTCATACCATTGTGTAATGTTTTATGTATAAATTGTAAATGTGTAATAAATTGAAACAAAGAAATTTTGGATCAAGTTTATTTGCACCATTGTGATACTAAAGCCTTTTACACGAAGTGTTTGTTTTCTCCTGTGTTTAAAAATCAAGCAATTGACAAATGCATTAAGATTGTGCTATTGCTTACATATGGAAACAAGATGTGTTTGTGAAACACTGCATGATATTTTAGTAGAAAAAGACACATTTATGGTAATTTAGCAATCAAGCTTGAAGTTAAATGTGATGAATTTTACTTTCTAATTGTCTTCTTCTCCTATGCAGCAATATATTCTTAACACCTTCATAAAGGGTTTATATATCTCAGTAGATTCGATATGCAAGAGCATGCTCTACATATATACAATTTCTAAAACGAGGTAAGTTAAGTACTGACAAACCGATTGATTAAATAAGAATATCATCAGCCTCTTTAATGTCATCATTTTGTAAGTTCAAAGGTCGAAACAATTACTACTATCTATGATTAAGTTAAATGCTTTCAGACGTTTTTCATACTGATTGTTAGGCCATTCTGATACTCCTGCTGGAAAGTGGGAGGGTATATAGTGATAGGGATGTCAATCCGTGTAGCTGTTTCGCTTTGGGGTATTCATCTTTTATTCATAACTCCTATTTACCACTGATCGATATACAATGAAATTTTCACAGAATCTTGGTTACATAGTACCATCGAAACTTTCTATTTTACTTTTGATGGGACTCATATTTTGAGTTTCCCAGAGCACCATATTGAAAAACGCCATTTTTCTATAATATTGAAGGGTATCCATCTCTTATCCAAAACTCCTTCTACGCCATTGAATAAAACTTGATAGTATTCTCACAGATACTTTTTTACATTATGCACCTCCTATTTTACTTTTTGATCTGACACTTATTTTGGGTCTCTCAGTGCAAAAAATGGACTTTGCCTTTATAACCAGGCATATTGTAGGCAGGGAGTATCATTTTGTTCACAGTACCTCTAGTTTCTATAATATTGAAGGGAAAATCTTTAATCCGCAACACCTCTTATACCACTAAGTGAAATTTAATGATCCTATCACAGATTCTTTAGTATATAATGCCATTACGCACCTCTTATACCCCCGCTTGAAAAGCTGGATGGTATATAGTAATCGGGATGTCCATCCGTCTGTTACGTTTTGGGGTACCCATGCATCTCTTAACCGCATCTCCTCTCATACCACAGAATGATTTGATGAAACTTTCACAGAATCTTTATAACATACCAGGTATTTCCATTATGACCTCCTATTTTACTTATTGATCTGACACATACTAGTATGGGGATGCTCACTCCTCCATGGCACCTGATCCCATCTCGGCTTGTTTGCTCTGCTCCTAATTTGTAATGTTTCATGGAATTTCGAGCTTGAATAATATTCGTTATCTCCACGGCCTATTACCTTACGAAAATTTCTTTTTTTGGGTTATCAGATATCTTAATGTATAAGGAATAATTGAGGGAATGTTAACATTGTCATTCTCTAATCAAGAGAGCTGTAGAAAACTTTTACGAGTATATACTGAATTAAACTTCTAAGTGTCCACCTAACATTTTTTAAGTTTTAGAGAACAAATGCATACAATAAATAATTTCTTTAATTCATGGTTAATTATGCATATTTCAGTTCGATGTTGCGTAAATTTCATGTAAGTATCACGTCAAAATTTTAAAGCCAAGTGTCAAGGACATGATGTACCCTCAAAATGAAAATTCACATAAAATAATCACTATTGAGTAAGACCACCACTCGCTCTAATTACTGCAAGACATCCTTTTCTCATGGATACCATGTGCCCATAAATAGAAGATTGACCTTTTTGCTGCCACCCTGGATCTTTCTCAACCGTTGAATTTGTGTGTGTGGGGGGGGTGGGGGGTGGGGGGGGGCTTTGACATTTCTTATAAAAATCCCAAATGTTTTCAGTGGGAGACAGATCCGGGGATTTGGCAGTGCTTCATCACACAGATGCCTTTTGGTCAATATCCTTGGGCGTTTAGCACGTGCGTGTACCGCTTTAAAAATGATCCAGACTGATTGAGATGTTATTAAACTGCCAGAAACACCGATTTCTCATCATTTTTTAACCATTGAAGTTGTTTGTTTTAAGCATTCTAATGTTGTTTCAGGACGATGTAACAATCTTTTTACATGGTTGTGACGCGAAACCCTGGCCTCAGACCAAAATCCAGATTACTTCTGGTTTAGTTAAATCTTGTCCAAAGCTTTCAAATTGTGATAAATTGGAAATTATGTATTCCATACACTTGTTTGAAAATGACACACAATCAATTGAAAATTGTGTGAAAATGGGTTTTTATACTGGTTGTTAATTTTTAAAAGTAATATGAAAGACAAATAAACACTCAAATAAAAGTGAGTAAAATGTTTTGCAAGGATGATCCTGATAGTGAGATATCAACATTCCAACGACTCTCCTTCCTTCCTTATAAGTCATTATGCCAATGTTTTGTGTTTTTTAGTTTAACTAGTTGTTAAAAATTGATACTGGCCACAAAAAGATGCTGCTTACCTAAAAAAAAAACATGCCACAAAATACAGATTTATCTACAGATTAAGAGTTTGTTTTAGCTTCGTGACCGAACATTTGCTTTCATCGGTGGTAACTGATTTTTTTTACACAATCATTGATCGAGAACACTCATTGGTTAGAATAATTTAAAGATATCATACCATTCTATCATGTAATTTCTAAATAAATACGTTTATCAGAATGAACACTATGAAGTTTTGTTAAGTGTGTACACCAATGGGAACAATCCTTAAGAATTTACAGTCTGTATTTCACGGTGAAATTATGAAGTTTTTCTAGACATGAGCAGAAACTTGATCACAAAATGAAATTTTAACATATGTCTAGAATCTAGACTAGATTTTTTGGTGTTGTAGTTGTCTGCATTATTTTAAATTATCGTAGGCTGAAAAAAATGTAATCTATATGTGAAGTATATTGTATAATTTAATCAATTTTCAAATCATGCATTTCATTAAATTTAATAATTTGAAGTTTCATTGTGCAGAATGAGAGTCTTTGATTGTCCATCTAAATAGTAAAAGAAAATTTGGATCATCGTGTACGCTGTCTGCCTTTGCATCGGCGTCATTATAGTTTGATGAGCACTAAGAGAAAAACAAATAAATACATAATTAGAAGGATGTCAAAAGTTGTGAATCAAACTATACTCAGAAAAAAAATTGTCAAAGGTTATGACAGATAATCAGTTCCTTTAAAAAATGAAAATAATGGAAAATACCAGGTTTATTCCATTTCCACTACTAGGTTTCTGCATTCTTCAAGCTCTCGCTCCAATGCCAACTTTTGATCCCTAGCAATCTGTAGCTCGAGTAAAATAGCTTTCATCTCATCTCTAAGAATAGTGATTTCTTTTCTAAGTAGAGGAGTCGGATCTGGGTCCCTAGATTCAATTGTTCCAAATTCAAGCTGGAGATCTTAGTATTGTTTTTCTAACAAGGCATTTTTTATAAAGCATTATTGATAAAATCTATTTTATAATTGAATATTACAAACCGAATCAAAGTTTCCCAATAAAGTGCTTCAGCTTGTGCAAGACTCTCCTGTTTGTTCTTCAAAGTGGCTTCCTGGGCTTCTGTGTGGTAAACTTGAATCTGCAAAAGGATCATTATTTTAAATGGACATTAAAAAAAACAAGGTCGTTTTTCTAGAACATTTAAATAATAATTGCCTTTTATAATCAAAGTCTTCAATCTTCATATCTCCATGAAATACCTGAAAGTGAATCTGCTGATTCTAATTATTGTTAATAATTTATACATTATATTATTAGTGTGGAACTGCTTTGTATCAATCGCTTATCTTGTCTTGCCGACATACTTTGAAAAGAAAAAAAAATTATGAGGTTGACGGTTTTATCCAGGAAGGTGGTATAACTTGCAAGCTAGATGTCTTGGCATTGTATGACCTTTTTTTTTTTTTTTGGTGTAGTCAGAATCAAGAAAATGACAGTGTTATTCAATTTACACAACGAAATAATTATCGTACAGTCTATCTAGAGTAGTTTTCACAGATTGCTAGACTGCATCTTTGGTAACCAAGGGTAATTTTCGGTCCACACCGCTAGTGCGAACCGAAAACCCTTGGCTAGCGAAGATGGCTAGACTGTGAAGTTTTCCCATCGAAGCCGAGCAAGCGCATTCCAGAAAAATCGACTAACGTAGTTGCCAGCGCTCAAAAGCATTTGCAAAACTTTTGTTCTCAGTAATGTCATTGCTTTGTACGCCCTCTTTCTTTCAAGGATTATCGGTATATGTTAATTCATCTGAAAAGAGAAAAATACTTCCGATTCCAAGTATAAAGAAAATTAATGCATCGTACGGTAATTAAAAATTACTTACCATCAGAAAGATGAATACAAACAAAGCTGCTCGCTTCTCTTATGGTAGCTAAAATAGAAAGAAAAATACACATCAATCCTTTGAACCAGTTGAAGAGCTTATAAAAGAAACTGAACAAATAAAAAGTATTAATTAAATGCTATTATAGGAGTCACAATCGTTATCACAACACATAGTGCATTATGTCTCTTAGAAAATCTAAAATAACAGATGCGCCAACGAAGCATATTAAGTTGCTGTTCCTCTGAAAAATGAACCATTATTTTGACATTGGTATTTATCAAAATACTACTGTACAATAATTTTCTTGTTTTTACGAAATATCATGTCATGAAAACGAGATATTATGTCCTGAAAACGACAAATTATCTCGTGAACACATCGTTTTTCACGATATATTATGCCGTTTTCACGGGTTAATAATTACCTCCATATTTTATTTTCCTATTCTCCCATATATAAGTTCACCATTCCCCTACTTACCAAGTATGATACAGACTTTACTAATTATAAAGTTATTATATAAACTGATGCCTGATATTCAAATGTGTGCAAAACGGGAGCAAACCGTCAACAACACTGAAATGCAAAGTTACGGTCCAACGCACACGAAACATATGATTATGCAAAACGCTTGTCTGATCATAGGCGTCGGAACCGTAGGTCTAGGGAGGAGGAGGGGGGCTTATATATAGGCATTGAAAATTGAGATTTACCTATTTTTGTTGGTTTAGCCCCCCCCTTTTTATTAGCCCCCCCCCCCAACTTTCAATTTGCTTCCGAAGCCCATGCTGATTACTTGGCCGTTAATTAATTTGGGATAATTAGGACTGTGCAAAACCTTGTCCATAACTTTTGATCAATAAGGGCTAGGGCTTCCATGTATTCTATGTGGCAAGACCTTTCATTGGATACCAATTACCTTGACCTTGGAGATTTTTGTACTTATGAAAAAAACTTTTATCCTGGCCATAACTTTTGAACGATAAGGGCTAGTGATCTCATACTTCGCTTCGGTAATCCTTGTGAGAAAAAAATTTATTGGATACCAAGAACTTTGACCCTTTGACCTTGACCTTGGAGTTTGACCTACTTTTCAAAAGTAAACTTTGACCATAACTTTTCAAGGGTGAGGGCTAACTGTGCTTTAATACTTTGACAAGACTTTCATTTTATATCAAGAACAAGAGTTTGACTTACTTTTTAAAATTTTTAAACTTGTCCATAACGTTTGAACAGTTAGGGCTAGGGCTTCCATACTTCATATATAATTTCTTTGTAGCAAGGCCTTTCATTGGATTCCAATTACCTTGACCTTTTGACCTTGGAGATTTCTATACTTATGAAAAAACTTTAATCTTGGCCAACTTTGATATTTCATAATTGTATTTCCAGTGAGAATACCCTACTTTGGGTACTTATATATTAAATTTGCATTTAAGAAAGGTTTTATATTCCCTATGTTGCCATACGGGGGCATCAGTGTTTCACAAACACATCTTGTTTCTTATGGGAAACGTAGAGCGCACTGCAGAACATACATAATTTTTCTGTCACTAATTAGTATTGGATAGATACATCTTTATTAAGTTTGCACTAGTCTGCGCTCAACATTTTCTGGGAGAAAAATTGCTTGAAATAAGCAGTTTTATACCAAATATGCTAAAATTTCAGAAAAACGTGAACTTTGTGATGTCACATTTCTAAATTACTGGCATTTTGATCAAACTGAAAATGACCAATAAAGGCCGCATTGTTACAACGCACTTTGAAAAATTACGCACCTTGAATATTCTTTTTTTCAAAGTGCGTTAAATTTGGGACTAAATCAACGCACTTTCAAAAAATAAAATTTCTTTTCAAAGTGCGTTAATATCGGCCATATTATGGCACTTTGAAAGAAATGTGTATGGTTTAGTTAATATATTTGCAAATCTTAGGTATGATGAATAATTGAACCTGTTTGATAACTATTCGGTGATGAGGTCACTTCAGGTTGTGAAAGTGAGCGATTTTTAAATTTCCATACTTTGAAAATTCTTCGTCTCTTAATCTTAAATGTTTTACTGTAGTTAATTTTTTTCAGTTTGCATGCATTTTATGTAAACTAAAATCAACTGAAAGTTTTCAACGTCATACCAGTTATGTAAATACATATATTTGGGTGTAGCATAGGCATCGGTACCGGGGGGGGGGGGCACACAAATGTTTTGCAAATATATACATAATAATATAGGCATTGAAAATTGGGGCTTTTGGGGGCTCCACTTTCAAATTCTACTGACGGCTATGTACAATATATAAGGAAATACAGTTGGGATGAGAGACCTTCTACTCGTCTTCTACTTGTTCTCAATGAGGTTACGAGGTGAAATGAGTACATGTACAGTTTTTCGAAAGATATAATTATTACAAAACGATTCTCTTAATTACCAAAAAAGTCTAGAATTTTTTGTTTTATATACATATTTTCTTCAAAGTCCGTTAAATGTCCACATAGTAAAAAAAAGTCTATGTACACTCTTAACGCACTTTGAATATTTTTTTTCAAAATGCGTTGACTGTGTCCCAAGTTTAACGCACTTTGAAAATTTTTTTCAAAGTGCGTTGATTTAGTCTCAATTTTAACGCACTTTGAAATATGTTTTCAAAGTGCGTAATTTTTTCAAAGTGCGTTGCCACATCGCATGTATAGCTGTACAAATTAGAGCTATAAACAACGTAAAATTAAGAAATTCATTTTAAGGGCCATTTGAGACAATGATCATATATTGCTCTTTAAATTTCTTACAGCTTTCTTTCTGAAATAAACAGGTCTTTTAATTACACAATCATAATTTCTTTCAACCTTATGGTTAAATTTGGAATGCTAGATGTACAATGAAACTCACTAACCTGATGCTTCGCCATTTTCTCCAGTCGTCAATTTTTGAGCTAAGAATTACAAGTTAGACACTTATATATGAAGGTATCTTATGGAATCTCAATTGTGAAAGCAAAAATTAAATTAAGTTAAAACTTAATGAACCTTAATAAAAGAAATACTAAAGCAAGAATCTGAAGTGATTTAAAAGTTTTAAAATCCAACTAATATCATAGGCGAACAATAATTCTGGACATGAAAATCAAAAAAGTAATGGTAGTAAATTGTTCAAATGCTTCAAAAGAGTGTAGGGTTTGCCAATCGGGTTTTGTAAGTTTGATGTTTTCATAAAAGTGTTTAAGGTCTTCCCACCCTCAAAATTTTAATGTTTAAAAGTACAAAAAATGAAATTATTTATATTTAATAAAGTTTAAATACACCATTTTTTCCAAGAATATATAGGTCACTATATTATTTAAGATAGGAGAGGTAATTAAACAGAATCATATGTCAACTTTAAAAAATTGTACATTTTTTTGTAAAGATTCTAAAAAGTGAGCACTGAAGGGTATAACAAAACAGTAATAGACTGGGATTCAGGCCTGCGGCCTCGGGCAACATTTTCACCTTCAGGTCCAACAAATCATATGTTGCCCTCATACCCAGTCAATAACTGTATATTAAAATAATTTTTGAAATGCATATATTCCTTTTATTTAATCATTTAAATTAAATTTATAAATCATAAGATTTTTTTTATAAATACAATCTTTAAAAAATGTTGATCTTTTTTATATGGGCAATAACTCCTGCGCAGGTAGCTTCATTTAGACATTTTCTTTATTGTACT